GGTGAGGTCTGCAGTGGTGTAGACTGGACAGAGCCAGGGTCCATCAGGACGTGGTGGGGGGCTCTGCGGTGCTCCCTCTCCCATGAGTTGCTAAAAGCCAGGCATGGAGCAGGATGTCTAGGATGTGCTTTTTGTGTAAAAATGAAGGGAAAATAAGACTGTGTTCACATTCTTGTGCCCACACATGCTGTAAACAAACGCTGGGGGTCGGCCCATGGTTCACTCGGGAGAGTGCGGTGCTGATAACACCAAGGCCACGGGTTTGGATCCCATATAGAGATGGCCGGTTAGCTCACTGGGTGAGCATGGTGCTGACACCACCAAGTCAAGGGTTAAGATCCCCTTACCAGTCATCTTTAAAAAAAAAAAAAAAACACTAGAAAAACACCTAAGAAACCAATACGAAATGGTTATGGGGTAGAAGATGGGATGGGGGGTCTGGGGGTCCAGACATCCAGGACAAGGATGGAAGCAGCCTCCTTCCCTGGACCTCTCAAAGGTGTGGGTCTGTTTGTTTTTACATTTCTGAATCATGTGAATATATTTGCCTATTCAGAAGCTAAATTTAAAAATACTGAACATTATTGGCTGTTACTTAAAATAGAATGCCCCCAACTTTATGGCTCTCCAACCATCCACACCTGCTGGACAGTTCTCTGTGTTGCTCTCTGGTCTCCTTGTTATTACTGGGTGAAGTTCGGCTGTGGTCCCAGCCCCGGAGGCAGCTGCCTGTGAGCACTGTGCAGGGAGCTGGTCACCAGATACTGTCCTTCTCAAGTTAAACCTAGGCTTATTTTACATCTGCAGAATGGGGTGATGACGATGCTTGGTGGCATTATGAGGGACCACACACTGGCCCGGAGTAAGGTTCTAGACGCCATAATAAATGTTTTTCTCATCAATAACTGACCCACCATCAGCTATAGTGAAAGTAAACACTGAGAGATCATGTGTGTGTTTGCACATGAAAACATACACCATCTATACTGGTTCTCAGTCCAGAACTTTATGGAGATATCTCCATTTCCTTGTGTTCTGTGTTTTAGGCTCTGTTTTTAGTGTCGTGTTTTCACCGTCTGTATGTGTTTGTTTACCTGGTTATCTTCCTTCATGGCCGAGTCCACAGCTGACCAGCTGCTCGAATATACTCACTTCAGAGCCATTGCTCTGGGCATGTTTCTACTGCACTAGGTTGAGGCAGCTGTAACAAAGGACCACAAACTGAGCAGCTTAAAACAGCACACGTTTATTCTTGTGCAGTTCTGGGGGCCAGAAGTCTGAGATCAAGGTGTCAGCAGGGCTGGTTCCTTCTGGGGGCTTGAGGGAGAGTGTTCCAGCTTCTCTCCCAGACTCTGGGGGCTCCAGCAGTCCTGGAGTTCTTTGGCTTGTAGAAGCATCACTCCAGTCTCTGGCTCCATCAGCACTTGGCCTCTTCCCTGTGTGTCTGTGTCCATGTTCTCCTCTTATAAGGACAGCAGTCCTTGGAATTGGGCCCACACTAATGACTTCATCCTAACTGACTACATCTACAAAGACCCTGTGTCCAGGCAAGGTCAGATTCACAGGTACTGGGGTTAGGACTTCAGCATATTTTTAGAGGGGGCACTGTTTGGCCCATAGTACTGGTATGAGTCTGTCTTAATTGTAGTATTAACCATTTCATTTTGGGGGGCTTTCCACTTGTGTTTTTATAAAATAAGAGAAAATGTAATATAGTCTGCCCTTATCCAAGGGGGATACATTCCAAGACCCCAGTGAATGTCTGAAAGCACAGATAATACTGAACCCTACATATGCTATGTTTTTCCTGTATATACATATCTATGATAAAGTTTCATTTATAAATTCGGCACAGTAAGAGATTAACAACCATAACTAATAATAAAATAGAACATTTATAACAATATACTGTAATAAAAGTTGGTGAATGTGGTCTCTCTTTTTCTCTCTCTAAATATGTCTTACTGTCCTGTGCTCACCCTTCTCGTGATGAAGGGACGGAGCAGAATTCATGAGATTTTTATCATGTTACTCAGAACAACACAATTTAAATTTTTATTTCTGGGATTTTCCACTTAGTATTTTCAGGCCACAGCTGACCGCGGGTGACTGACCCATGGAAAGTGAAGCTGCAGTGAGCAGGGACCACTGTACAGTGTTTGAGTCTTTGTGAAAAAGAACACACACTGAAGTGATAGACTTAGCCAATGGATTCACACGTGGGTAGCAGAATGAGCTGCCTTTGCTATCTGGAAATGAGCTCCATGTCTCCTTCACCCTCCAGGAAACTCCCAGTACAGCCAGCAGCAGGCCGGTTACCAGCAGGGCACGGCCCAGCAGCAGACGTACTCCCAGCAGCAGTACCCCAACCAGCAGAGCTACCCCGGGCAGCAGCAAGGCTATGGTAAGAGTGAAGGGGCATCTCCCCGGGCCCCCAGCACCCCACCTGCCCTGCACGTGGGCCACACGCACTGCAATGCTATCGTTCAGGCGAATGCCTAATAAACTCCAGAAAAGTTGCGAGGCTAGTACAGAGAGTTCCCGTGTGCCTGGCACCTGGTCCCCTGTTGTCACACCACATGTTACTGCGATACAGTTGTGACGATTAAGAAACCAGCACTGATACCTGGCTGGGCATCAAACACACTAGTCAGTCGCCACTAGTTTTCCCTGAGGTCCTTTTCTATCCCAGGACCCCTCCAGGATCCCACAACATTTACTCGTCATGCCTCCTCAGGCTCCTTTTGACCAGGACGGTTTCCCAGACTTTCCCGGTCTTTCTTGACCTTGGCAGTTTGCAGAGGAATGGGTGGGTGCTTTGTGGATTGTCCCTCCGTTTGGGTTTGTCTGATGCTTTTCTCATGGTGAGGCGGGGTTACAGGGATTGGAAAGAAGACTGCAAAGGTGACGTGCCCTTCTCTCCACATCCTACCAGGGGCCCGTTGCATCAGCATGGCCTCCCTCTGGTAACACTGACCGGGGTCACATGATGAGGTGGTGTTTGCTGGGTGTCCCCACTGCCACGTTTCACCTTTTCTCCTTCCTTTTTCTTTCTCTGTTCTTTGGGAGGAGTCACTAACCCCACTCTTGGGGTATCTGTATATATTATTTAGAATTCTTCTATACGGGCCGAGCCCGTGGCGCACTCGGGAGAGTGCAGTGCTCCCGCTGCGGGTTCGGATCCTAAATAGGGATGACCGGTGCGCTCATAGTGCTCACTGGCTGAGCACAGTGCGGCCGGTCTCAAAAAGGACAAAAAAAAAAGAATTCTTCTATAAGGAAAGTTTGTCTCTTCTCACCCCATTCACTTAATCACTTATTTTAGTATGTACTCACAATCATTTTACATGTTGGGTTATAATCTAACACTGCTTTATTTTGTAGTTCAAATTGTCCCAGCTTCGTCCCCTGGGAGCTCTTTCAGTTGGCTCCTGTGTCCCTCTGGCATGCCGTGCTCTTTTGGTTTCTTTGAGCACTGCCGTGTTTTCTGGTGCCACAGTGTTTTCCCAGCCCAAGGATCAGCCATTTCTCCAAGGAACCCTGGTACCTTTTGCTGGAAATCATGTTGGAAACTGAGGCCCGGGCACAGGTGGGCATTTTCTGAGCCCGGTTGTGTGAGGCAGCCCACATATGGGTGGCCTGGCAGCAGTGTGCAGAAGTGCTGCCCGCCCTTTGGTTTCTGCTCACCCCATGGAGACCACTGAAGTGAGAACAGGCCACCACAGACTCAGCATTGGTGCCCGTGGGATGCAGAGAAGGGGTCATCGTGCACAGAGGGGGCCGGGGGGCTTTCCAGTAACAACAGAGGGGACAATGCCATTCACCTGAAAATGAGCAGAAATGGAAACTCAGCCTTGCCGAATGAGCTTAGGCTGCCAAGCAGAGCAGAAGGTTTTGCCAGGACTCAGCCTGAGTGTCTCGTCCTGCCCCAGCAGTTCCACTGGAAACGACCGACAGGAGCCCAGAGCCACAGGAGGGTTTCCCTGTGGTTCTAGCACCCCCTTGGTGCCCCACAGAACCTGGGGTGCTGGGCATGTGCTTTTTGTGCGGCATCACAGCAGGGCCATTAGCTCATGGTACCACTGTGTGACCGCCACACATGCTGTCAATATTTAAAATACCTGATATGAGGGCTAGCCAGTTAGCACAACTGCTTCACATGCAGCCTTGTAACACCAAGGTCAAGGGTTAGGATCCCCGTACTGGTCAGCCTCGCTCTTGCATAAGAGTGAGTAGGTATTAGTTTATCCAGAGAGGGAGTTAAGTGCGTGTTCGTAAAACATCCATGCACGCAGACCTGAAACATCTCACTGTACCTTAAACACAAATGTCTGTTTGTTGGCCCCTTGGGGTCTCCCGCTGGAGCCAGACTTTCATCCTTCCATAAACCACAAGCCCCATGCTGCGTCCCTCATCTTGCTTGGACCTCTTTGAGGAGGCAAGTCTAGGTCCGTGGGTCTCAGACTTTACTGTGTCTTAGAGTCACCTGAGAACCTCTACAAAATAAGGTGCTGGGGTCACTCCAGAACAGTGGAGCAAAGCCTCAGTTGTCAGGGTAAGCCCCACAGAGAGGGTCCCCAGGAAGCTCGAGTAATTCTGCTATGACGAGGAAGGAGGACCACAGTGAGTGTTTGTTATTCAAACTTGTACAAGTTAAAGTTCAGCCTTTTACAACTATGATGAATTAAATAGCATTTGAAAAAATTACTTGGCCTTTATCAATTCTTTCCAAAGCTTTCAACTTAGTTTTCATAGAAACAATGACTCTTTCTCTTTTGCCTGGTGGATTTCACCAGTTCCTGTGATATTTAAGTTATGGGTTTACAGCAGTCATCAGAACTGACACCATCTGGTTCCAGAACAACCACTCCCCTGCCTCTATGATGTGGCAGGCACAGGTGTGCTGGAGGGGGCCCCTCAGCTACCCACTCTGGGGTGAGGGGCACAGTCTTGGGTCCTCACAGGACTGGAGGGTCTGTAAGTTGGTTACATGGTGCTCTTGCTATTAAGATTTAATGTTGAGGAAACCAAGTGCCAGGTGTTTTGGAGATGTTCTGAGGAGTCATTGGGGTTGGTCTCATAGTTTCTGGTGTGTTTTCTCAGGGCCTGCCCAGGGAGCTCCCTCGCAGTACCCCAGCTACCAGCAAGGACAAGGCCAACAGTACGGGAGCTACAGAGCGTCACAGACGGGACCATCTGCCCAGCAGCAGCGGCCTTATGGCTATGAGCAGGCAAGCTTTCTGGATGTTTCCAGACGTGCCCGTCCACCGTGTCTGTCGAGACATAATGAAGATTTCTCATATGGTCATGAGGAATAATGAGATGGAACTAATTGGCTTCCAGGGTCCCTTCCAGAATGTTAACTCTCTGAGCCTGTAAGGTTTTTAAAAATTACCTCTACGTATATGCTCACCTTGGTCAGACACCTGGCTTTTTATATCCTAAACTTACTGTTAGATTTGCATGCGCGATTCTCTCATTCTTTCATTCTGCAGATATTTATCACGCACCTAGCATGTGTTGGGTCTCTACTGGGTGCTTGGGATATGGCAGCGACACGGCCCCTGTGCTTTTAGAGCTTACATCTTGTTCAGGAGACACTCATCTGAGCCAGAAAACATCCTGGGTGCTGGGGATGGAGCAGGGGCAGAGCAGAGGAAGCCCCCGCGTGGAGCCCGGTCCTGGGTGGGAGCACACATCTGTCAGGTGCTGAAAGTTCTAAGAAGAAGATACAGAGGGAAGGGGCTGGAGAGTGACAGGAGCAGGGGGTTGGCTTAGACCAGGCTGGTGGGAAACCCTGTCATGATCCCAAAGGAGCCGAGGGAAGAGCATTCCTGGTAGATGGAAGTGCAAGAGTTCCCGGGACAGTGAGGAGCCAGTGTGGCTGGAGCAGGGTGAGCAGTGAGAGTGTGGAAGGAGGTGACAAGGACAGGTGGCAGGGTGTGGGGGCCTCATGGGGAGGTGCCTTTGGTCTGAGTGGGACAGGGGCCCCAGGAGGAGAACGAGGTCTGCATGGCAGGAGCAGTGAAGGGGCAAGAGACCTCACAGATGAGAACGAGCCAGGCACCGGAACAGAATGTGCAAAGGTCCTGGGACCACAGTAGGCCTGTCACATTCAAGACAGAAAGAAGGGGGCCGAGCCCGTGGCACACTCGGGAGAGTGTGGCGCTGGGAGCGCAGCAGCACTCCCGCCGCAGGTTCAGATCCTATATAGGGATGACCGGTGTGCTCACAGCGCTCAGTGGCTGAGCGCGGTGCGGCCGGTCTCAAAAAGGACAAAAAAAAAAAAAAAATCAGTTGTGTTTC